CGTGGGCCGGGAGACGCGACCAGACCTCAGCGGTCCGGTCTCGTTGCTGCAGAGCACGTTCCCAAGGCCGAAAGTGGCGGACTTACTGGAGGGCAACCTGGTCGTGCGGGTTGGGAAGGATTTTTTCCACTCAAGCCTGTGGATCAGGCCCATCAAGCTGGCGAACCTGGCGTTCTACACCGTGGCGGACGCTGCATGGGCCAATGCGAAGGACTAGGCGAGTCAGGCGGGTTGCATCTTCCTGGCAGGCGACGAGAAGATCAGCCGCGGCCACTGGGAATGGATATCTCCCCTAGCGTGGAGGTTGCATCGACTGGCTCGGAAGTTTCCGAGCTCGCTGGCGGCGGAGACACTCGGGGCGGACGAGGGCCTGGCGAACGGGATCTACCTGAGGAGTATGTTCGCACAGCTGGTGTTCCCAGGGCTAAACGCCCGGACGGCACCAGAGGCGGGACGTGTCTTCCCGCTCACCATCGTGACGGACAGCAAGTGCCTATACGACCACCTGTACAACATTTCGGCAGGTCCGAGCAAGGACCGAAGAACCATGCTGGACATCGCGATCCTCAAGGAGAGCATGAAGGAGAGCGAGACTAGCATCAGGTGGGTGGACGGCAAACGTCATCAAATCACGGACCCGCTGACGAAACGGAATGGACGTGGCATCCTGCAGAAGGGCGAGTTCGTGATTGTCGAGGAGGACAGAGCGCTCAAGATCAGGGAGGACGAGCGCAGAGCGCGCGTGACGCGCCGTGGAGCCTTTGGTGGGTTTGTGAGTGCCCTGACCGCAACGCCGTGCGGGGGGACGGATCATCGCGCTACGCGCTCGCTGCAGTCTCTAGTGACTGCAGCGCTGACTTCCGTATCACTGCATACCAATGCGCTGCGCGCTGCGTCTGTGCTGAGACCCTGTTCGGGCCCTCTTAAGACGGACCGAAGTGGGAGGGCGCTGGACTTCTTCCGTGTCTGGGCACCTAGAATTCTGGGGCGTGCGAGCTGCTCTAGAGGCTTTCTGGCGTATCCCCTAGGCAGCCCAGGATGCCAGACACGTCAGCCTCTCCCGCGGCCGTTTGGTTCGGACAGGGGCCTCGGCCCCTTGGAGGGATTCACACGTGATCGAGTCGAGACTGAAAGAACAGACATCCCACGGGCTTGCGCTTCTACCGCCGCTGCACTAGATTCGGCCATTGCTTGTTTCTACACGCGCGATAAAAGGCGAGCAGTGGCAAGCATCTCTGGCGGTGCGGGGCTCGGCTGGGCGCGGACGCTTGCACCGACAACCATCAGCTACATGTTCGAATCACCATGTGTGAGAAAGGCAGGCAGTGGAAGCTGAACGGTCGTTTCACGGTCCGTCGGCGCGTTCTCACGTCCAGTGTCGCAATGGATAATGTGGTGCAGGAGATGGGCAGGCAGCGGTTGCTTCTTTTCTTGTCGCGCGGCTTGGGGCTGGAAGCTTAGGTTGCACATCACATCGTCAGTGACAACGCTTGGAATTGGCATAGTGTTATAGCGGTCGGTGGCAGTTATCCTCAGAGGAGCGTGCGTGGGCAAGGCTGGCCAAGTGTTCAGTGTATAGTTTGAACTGCTCGCATAGTGCATTGGCGTTTGTGGAATGTGTAATTTCTTGTTGTCTGGTTGGGATGGTGGTTGCTGTTAATATGTATGGGCACTGCGTGCTCCATGAAAGCTTCGGCTAGAATGCTCAGCATCGCCAGCGTGGCATCTTCCCCCTTGCAATTGAGGTGTGATAGTTACGTTCCCTGATGTATGGTGCAATGCTACCCGCACCGGTGGCTGGTGGGAAGGAGTGGAATGTCAGTTTCTGTTTGTCTCTGATGTGAGGTACTCGTACGAGGTATCAAATACGTTCCTCGTGCTTCCTGGTCCTGCCATGCAGTTTCTGGGTGGTGGTGTCCGCCTTCTGGTTCGCGTCGGCAAGCTCAGAGGGGCGGCGTGCAACCATTTGAGAGCAGACACCGTCTGGTTGCTATCCCTTCATGTCCTATCCTAGCACATCCTCCTCCTTCTCCTCCTCCTCTTCCTCTTTGCCTCCTCCTGCAGCTCCTCCCCCTCCTCCTCCTTCTCCTCTATTCCTCCTCCATTCCTCCTCTAGTCCTCCTCCATTCCTCCCCTGCTCCTCGTCCATTCCTACGCCATTCCTCCTCCATTCCTCCTCCGCCTCCTCCTCCTCATCATCCTCCTCCTCCTCCAATCCTTCTCCTTATAGATAACTCCTCCCTGTCGCACCCCGAGACCAGCTTTTAGGGCGGGCCGAACGTGTCGGCTGAGACCTCCTCGTCATCTATGAACTCTGAAGCTGAAGATGGAGGGCGGGTGGTCTTCAAAATGTGGCTCTCGCCTCAGCGCCGCGCACATTCGTTAAACAAGAAAAATAAAAGAGCTTCACGGATTGAGGGCAGGTCGTGTTTTAAATGTGGCTCTCGCCTCAGCGCCGCGCGCATTCGTTAAAACAAACTTGCCAGACCTTCACGGATTGAGAGCGGGTCGTTTTAAAATGTGGTTCTCGCCGTAGCGCCGCGTACATTCGTTTTGTGTTATTATAAAACAATGCAAGAGTTTCACGGATTGACAGCAGGTCGTTTTCAAAATGTGGCTCTCGCCTTAGCGCCGCGCACATTCGTTTGAAAAACCTCCAAGAGCTTCACGTATTGAGGGCGAGCAAGTTTCAATATGTGGTTCTCGCCTTAGCGCCGCGCACATTCGTTAAGCAAAGCAAGAGCTTCACGGATTGAGGGCGGTTCGATTTCAAAAAGTGTTTCTCGCCTTAGCGCCACGCACATTCGTTTTCAAACGTTGCAAGAGCTTCGCGGCGTCAGGATCTTCAAACGGCTGTCTTCTAACGAGGCAATTCCCCCAATGGAAATGAACCGTTGTGGGGGCCTACGAGGAGGGAGCTTGGAGGGAGGGTTAATTCCAACATCGTTGAGGACTCTTGGTTTTACACTGGTCCTTCTCCTCCTCCTCCTCCTCCGCCATACCTCTTCGTCCTCCTCCTCTTCCTCCTCTTCCATTCTTCCTCCTACATGCCTCCTCCTCCTCATCCTCCTCCTCCTCCTCTAATCCTCCGCCATTCCTCCTCCTCCTCCCCCTCCTCCTCCTCCTCCTCCTCCTCCTTCTCCTCCTCCTCCTCCTCCTCCTCCTCCTCCTCCTCCTCCTCCCCCTGATCCACCTTCCCCTCCTCCCCCTCCTCCTCCTCTTCCTCCTCCTCCTCCTCCACCACCTCCTCCTCCTCATCCAACTCCTCCTCCTCCTCCCCCCCCCTCCTCCTCCTCCTCCTCCTCCTCCTCCTCCTCCGCATCCTCCTCCTCGTTATCAGCATCAGCATCAGCATCAGCATCAGCATCATCATCATCATCATCATCATCATCATCATCATCATCATCATCATCATCAATCATCTCAGCCGCATCATCATCATCAGCATCATCAGCATCATCATCATCAGCAGCATCAGCATCATCATCATCATCATCATCATCATCATCATCATCATCATCATCATCATCATCATCATCATCATCATCATCATCATCATCATCATCATCATCATCATCATCATCAGCAGCAGCAGCAGCAGCATCATCAGCATGATCATCAGCATCATCATCAGCAGCATCATCCACATCATCCTCATCCTCGTCAATCCTTATTATCTTCCTTCTCCAGTCTTCCTCATCCTCCTCCTCCTCCTCCTCCTCCTCCTCCTCCTCCTCCAGTCTTCCTCATCCTCCTCCAGTTTTCCTCTTGATTCTCTTCCTCCTCTTCCTCCTCCTCCTCCTCCATTCCTCCTCCATACCTCATGCAATCCCCCTCCTCCTCCTCCTCCTCCTCCTCCTCCTCCTCTTCCTCATCTTCCTCCTCCTCCTCCTCTTCCTCCTATTCCTCCTCCTCCTCATCCTCCTCCTCTAATCATCCATCTCTCCTCCTCTCATCCTGCTCCTCCACCTCGATCCTCCTCGATCCTCATTCTCCTCTTCATCCTCCAGCTTCTACTTCTTCTCCTCCTCGTCCTCCATTGCTCCCCCTCCTCCTCCTCCTCCTCCTTCTCCTCTCCTCCTCCTCCCTCCTCCTCCTCCTCCCTCCTCGTCATCTTCCTCCTCCTCCTCCTCCTCCTCCTCCTCCTCATCATCATCCTCCGTTCCTCCATTCCGCCAGTATTCAATCTCTCCATTCCTCCTTTCCTCCACTCCTCCATTCTTACATTCCTCAATTCCTTCATCCCTCCATTCCTCTATTCTTCATTCCTCCGATCCCTCCTTTCCTTCATGCCTGCATTCCTACTCCTCCTCCTCCTCTCCTCCTCCCTCCTCCTCCTCCTCCTCCTCCTCCATTCTCCTCCATTCCTCCTCCATTCCTCCTCCATTCCTCATCCATCCCTCCTCCATTCCTCCTCCTCCTCCTCCTTCTCATCCTCCTCCTCCTCCTCCTCCATTCCTCCATTCCTCCATTCCTTCCTCCTCCTCCTCCTCCTCCTCCTCCTCCTCCTCCTCCTCCTCCTCTCTCACTTCCCTCCTCCTCCGTTCCTCCTCCTTCTCCTCCTTTTCCTCCTCCCTCCTCCTCCTCCTCCTCCTCCTCCATTCCCCCCCATTCTTCCGCCATTCCTCTCTCTCTTCCTCCTCCTCCTCCTCCTCCTCCTCCTCCTCCTCCTCCTCCTCCTCCTCCTGCTCCGGAATAACCTTTGCCTCCTCCTCCTCCTCCTCCTTCCTCCTCCCATCCTCCTCCTCCTCCTCCCGCCTCCTCCTCCATTCCTCCTCCTCCTCTCCTCCATTCCTCATCCTCCTCCTCCTTCTCCTCCTCTTCTCCTCCGTCTCCCCCTCTACCTTTTTCTCTTTTTCATCCTCCTCCTCCTTAACCTCCTCCTCCTTCTTCTTCTTCTTTTATTACTACTCCTCCCCCACTACTGCTTTACTGCCTACACCTCTCCTCCCCCGCCCCCCCTTTACCAGGGACGGGAGCACTTTCTCTGCCCCCGAGGCCAATGCATGTGGACCACGGCCCTGATGTGGTTCTTGCGCAGCGTCCGAGTTAGGACCTGTCCGCCAGGGCCGTCCGCCGACGGGTGGGGGGCCCGTCACTGGGGCAGATGGCCATCTCCAGGCTCCACCTCACCCCCTCCTGCTCGTTCAAGGGCTCGGGCGCTGTGAAAAAATGCGACGGTGGAGTTTTGGATGCTCCCGGTTCTCTCGTTCGCTCGCTGAAACGGAATTCCCGACCGCAGGGGTCCTGAGCCGGGTGCTGCCTGGGGCCCTTCAACTGGCGGAGCTGCGGGACACTGCCCATCCACGGGTAAAAAGCTCGTTCTCTGTTTCGTCACGGCCCACATCTACACTGAAGTGCGCCACCAGAACCCACCAGAAATTCTCCTGTGAAGCGTGTGCACCTGATTCGCTGCCGTCGCCGCCGCCGTCGTCGGCGCTGTCCTCGCCGTCATCGTCGTCCTCTACTCCTCGACCTCGTGCTTTGGGCCTGCACCTCCTTATTCGGAGGAGGACGAGACGTACGCTCAACACGTGCCGAAGCCGGCGCGGTTCTGGGGAGCCGGCGCCGGAGATGCCGCCGAGCGGGGTGTCCAGAGCCGCCCCCCGAAGACACGCTGACCTCCGAAACCTGGATCATCCCCAGACAGCACCTGCACCAGAGGGGGCTCTTGCTCCACTCACGCCGCACTGGCCCGCGGTTCCGGCGGTTCGCCCGACGGGCGCCCTTTGGCGCGCCTCGTGGTCGCCCCGTGCGCTGGCCGGCGGTTCCAGACTTCGGCCGACGGGAGTCCCCTCGTGGGCGCCGCGTGCCCTTGGGCAGGGCCAGGGGCGAAGACACTGCTCGCACCACGTAGACAGCCACATAGGCGGTTTGCACCGCACTGGTTACCCCACAGGGCTGCCACCCTGTGTGCTGCACGACATGGATTGGTGTCCATCTCCGCCGATCCAGCGTGTGAGTTTAGGAAGTCTAAGCTGAAGCTCTGCTTCAGCATGAGCTGTAGCTCGGCTTGGGAGGGGGGGGGGGGACGTACTTAAATTCACGACCGAATCAGGTGCTCGGCACCTCCCCCCCCCGCCAGCCCCAGGAGAGAAGGGGGGAGGACAGGAAGGGGGGGGCCGACTGGGGGAAGGGGGAATCGAGGGGAAAAAAAGGAGGGGGGGCGGACAGGAGAGACGGGGGGGGGGGCAAGAGAGGGGGGGAGGGGAAAGGAGAGAGGGGGGAGGAGGGCAGGAGAGAGGGGGGGGGACAGGAGAGAGGGGGGGGGCGAAAGGAGAGAGGGAGGGGCGGGGAGAGAGGGGGGGTGGCTAGTTAGGTGCGCTCGCGTCAACATCTGACATCCTACCCCTCCCTCCCATCCCTTACCATGGCGCTGATTTTCTCTATCCGCGGACGCGTGTCGTAGCGGTCCTGTGGCTCCGCGCGCGTGTGCGTAGTGGGTGGTGGTGCGCGTGCGTGCGTGCGTGTGTGCGTGGTTGTGGTTGTTGTGGTGGTGGTGTGTATGTGTGTGTGTGCGTGTGTGCGCGTGTGCTGTGGTGTGACGTGGTGTGGCGTCTTGGTGGTTTGGTGGTGGGCCAGGTGCGTACGTGCGTGATGGCGGTGGTGGTGGTGGTGGCGGTGGTGGTGTGTGTGTGTGTGTGTGTCTGTGTCTGTGTCTGTGTCTGTGTCTGTGTCTGTGTCTGTGTCTGCGTCTGCGTCTGCGTCTGCGTCAGCGTCTGCGTCTGCGTCTGCGTCTGCGTCTGCGTCTGCGTGTGCGTGTGCGTGTGCGTGTGCGTGTGCGTGTGCGTGTGCGTGTGCGTGTGCGTGTGCGTGTGCGTGTGCGTGTGCGTGTGTGTGTGTGCGTGTGCGTGTGCGTG